GGTGCATAAGTTTCTTCAAAATCAATGCCTTCTTCTTGATTGTAGCCTTTAGCTACGAGCCTAGCTTTGTTTCTAGTGATTATTCCATTTTCATCGAGTTTGTTACGGAACACCCATTTCGTACCAATTATGGTATGATCATCGGGTCTTGGCACCAATTCCCAAACGTCATTTCGTTTGAATTGGTTAAGCTCCTCTTGCATTGCCAAGGTCCAATGTTCATCATCAATTGCTTCCGAAATGGTTGTAGGCTCAATTTGAGAAACAAAAGCCATGTGACCTACGGTGTCCCTGAGAGAGCTACGAGTACTTACCTTTCGGTTAATGTCACCGATCACCTTGTCAAGAGGATGGTTCTTTGAAGTCCCCCATGCCCTTGGCATTGGCGTTTCCTCCTCTTGTGGTTGTTCCTCGTTTACGGGTGGCTCTACTTCTTCATCTTGGCTTTCCTTTGAGTTGTCTACTTTGTCATCGTCGTAGATGTTTTCCAACGAATCTATAAGATCATCACAAGAAACCTTTCTCGCCAAGCGAGCATCATTTTCGGTGAAGACAACATGAGGAGATTCCTCAACGGTTAAGGTGCGTTTGTTGAAGACTCTATAAGCCTTACTACGCAATGAATAACCAAGAAAATTTCCTTCATCCGACTTTGCATCAAATTTATCCAAATTATCTTTTCCGTTATTGTGAACAAAACATTTGCAACCAAAGACTCGAAGATGGGAGAGGTTTGGCTTTCTTCCTTTATATAATTCGTATGGGGTTTTCATGAGTATCGGTCTAATGACGGCTCGGTTTAACACGTAGCTCGCAGTACTCACGGCATCCGCCCAAAAATAGGAATTTTTGCCTCATCAAGCATAGTTCTAGCCATCTCCTCAAGGCAACGATTTTTACGTTCCAACACGCCATTTTGTTGTGGTGTACGTGGAGCAGAGAAGTTATGCTCGATGCCTAGTTCGTCAAAAAACTCGTTAAAGAGATCGCGTTCGAACTCTCCACCATGATCGCTTCGTATGGCTACGGTGGTTAAGCCTTTTTGATTTTGAACCTTTTTGAGAAAAGTTTTGAAAACATGAAATGCCTCACTTTTATGAGTTAGAAATAGTGTCCATGTGAATCGAGAGTAGTCATCAACAATCACAAAGGCGAAATAGTTTCCCCCAAAACTTTTTGTTCTTGATGGTCCAAAGAGATCAATGTGCAAAAGTTGTAGGGGCCTTGTTGTAGACACAGCATTCTTTGATTTAAATGAGGCCCTTACTTGCTTGCCCTTTTGACATGAATCACAAATGGTGTCCTTCTCAAACTTGAGTTTTGGAAGGCCAACTACTAGGTCTTGTGAAACCAATTTATTCAGAAGATTCATGTTGACATGAGCTACTCTACGATGCCATAGCCACATATCGTCCTCCTTACTCATGAGACATTTTGCAAAGTCGGAGGGAGATTCATCTAAGTTAACCATGTAAATGTTATCAATTCTATCACCACGAAGAATCGTCTTAT